TGTTGACCTCTCGTACATGCGATCCGCGATTTTGGCGAGCTTTTCCATGTCAATGTCGTCGTCTCCGTAAGCAAGAACTTGTTGAATGTTTGCAGGAAGTCGTCGCAACCAAATTTGGTAAAAGAGACGTTTGTCGATATCTCTTCCTGCTACTAGGCTTTGCATGTGCCTCATGAGTTGTGATGGGGTTTTATCACCTAGCTCTACATTGCTTAACAAACGATCGAGTGCTTGCCTATCAGAAAGTGAAGTGCATCGAAGTACTTCTTCTTTCAACTTGTCGTAAGGAGCGTCTGTGCTGGGCTGAACTATGTATTGTCGAACCTGTTCGGCGATTTCGTCTGGTAGTACTGTACTCAATATGCCAAATTTAGCCGTCTGTGACGTAAGCTTATTGGCAGTGAAATAATTTTCCAGTCGTGCAAACCAAAGATGGGGGTCTTTGGGCCTAAAAACTGGTACAGTAAGAGAAATGGTACTAACAGATCCCAGCTCTAAGTTATCAGAGGTATTGGAAGACATGATACAATTCGTAGAAAAATGGTTTAACAGTAACAAAATAGCAAAAATTATGCACACCAAGAATATGGTAAAACAGAAAAACATGCAATGCAGATGCTTACCACAGATTACTGCAAGTTGTGCGATGAGAAAGCACAAGAATGAGCTCGAAATGTCTATTATATGTATATATATCCGATAAAGTTAGAGTTTAAATAATCCAGCAAGTGTAATGATGCGTCCGGGTGAACAAAATGTCGTCGCAGTGAACAAGTTATCGTCGAGGTGAAAAAGTTGTCGTCGCGATGGACAATTTGTCGTCGGGGTAGAAATTTGTCGTTGGGGTCAACAATTTGTCGTCGGGGTGAACCAGTTATCGTCAAGGTCACCAATTTGTCGTCGCTGTCGAAAGATCACGTCGGGCTCACCAATTTTGTTGCGTGCGTTATCTGACTAAACTGCTGTACACATATATTCTAGTATTTCTTCGTTCTTATTCATGTGCGCAGACGTTGTGGCTACTCGACGCCCACAACGTAAATCAAAAGGCACTTGCGAAGATTACGAATGTGTATTGTAGCAGTAGTCAAATTCGAAATTGTGTCAAGGTAATATTCAACAGTAAATTGACAAATGTTTGCGAAGTACATATAAAATCGGTCTGTATACACATATAATACAAGTATACAAATTAGATTAAAAAGCATGTTTACAGTTGGTATATGGGTACTACAGGGTTTCTCTGCCCTGATAACTGAATATTTTCATTTCTTTTTCATCTGATTGTGTAATGCTGAAATTTTTCCATTGTGTTTGATTATTAGTGGTGACTAATATTATATATATATGTATATATATATATATATATATATATATATATATATATATATATATATATTTATATATATATATAAGATATATATATAACTACTGTATGCAAATATTGATCGATCGATTTTTGCTTAAAAATGTAGTCTGTGTGCAAGTATGCTAAAATTGTGTTTGTAGATATATTTAATAATGTCTTTTGCCGGTGAGCAGCTGATGAGAAGGCAACGAAGTAAAAGATGGTACCACTTAATTTTGCAAAAACTGTAGTTCTTGCTTTGTTCAAATTGATACAATTTGTGATGTGTTATATCGTATTCACCTATTCATTTAGGAGCATAAAATAAGAATGGTTTAGCACAAGTGATAACTCAGATGGTATAATCAAGTTATTTTACGTCTGTTTACAATTCATAAACTTAATTCCCCTTAGAGAAGTAATACAACTGCTGGCTGGCATTTCTTACTGAATGCCCCCTATTTTGCTGAATTTCGGATTTTGTTTTACACTACTTACAAAGATTAAGTAGCACTCTTTGTTCCAACTAATTTTATTCTTTCCAAGGATTGGTTTTTTAGGGATTTTGATTGATTGGTTACAGGATTTCATTATGAGCTGACATTGGTTAGAGAACCATTGAAAACGTTGCAGGGAGTGCTGGACAGCTGTTTCGCCATATTTTGGGAATCTCTAACCTATGTCAGCTCATAATGAAATCCTGTAACCAATCAGTCAAAATCCCTACGAACCATTACTTGAAAATCAACGCAATGCTCACTAGCGACTTGCCATATTCAGGTAGATAGTTACCTGCGGTTCTAGTGGGACGTCGTGACCAGTGCGGTACAGTAGGTCAGATGTTAGGACAAATACTCGCCGAAGACATTGGCTAGGGGTCGCGCTATGTCGTGAAATGGTAGAAGTTAGAATTCATGGAATGACCATTGGATCAGTCGGGTCCCAGTGGTCCACGAGCTCGGTGGCCTTGTAATCACAAGGTCCTGGGTTCAAACACCGTAGTGTGGGTGCGTACTGATGAAGAGTCCCAAACTAGGACAGAGGAAACAGCACTCCAGTACTCCCTGGCAGGTTTTCCAGTGGTTTTCTAGCTGACGCCAGCTCATGATAGATTGTTATTTCTTTTGCATCAAATTCACAATTCTGAAATTACACAATTACAGGTGGAATTTTAGCATAATTCCCCTTTGTAACATAAATTAATCAGATGACAATATTTCCTCTGCTTGACATCATCAACGGTAGTCAAGAAAGCAAACGAAAACACTTGATACAATATACTACTTATTGGTCTGAGTATTTGGAAACGAATCACGTCGACCAGTATAGTACTCGCTAGCCAGACAGAAGTGGTCTCAACCCTTAGCTGGTCATTTCCACAGTTTGGTATTGAGCTTACCAGCCTTGTGTCTGGATTAACTAATCTCAAAGAACAGAATAAATTCTAACCACGGGAATTCTAGCTAAGCACTTAAGCTAACTTTTATTGCGTAAAACTGACGAAGCTCTCTGCCACCCTACAATGACCTCACCATCTGAAAGGACTAAAACGTCAGTCCAGTGTTTAGATGACTTCCATCGGGTTAATATGAACAGTATCCAATTACTCTTAGTTATCAACCAGTCGTACCTATCATCTTGTGACTAGTCACATAAATTTAATTTACAAAGCAGAGAAATCAAAGTACCGCTTCGACCAGTATTAGATATGGTAAATTCATTATACCATCCCGTAGCCAAATGGTTAGTCGAACTCTTACAACCTCTTCATACTGAGTTGATGAAACACAGTGTAAAGGATACTTTTGGATTTGTTGAAAGGTTAAAAGATTTAAATGTTGACAATAAATTCATGATGTTATTTGACGTATCTTTCTTATTCACCAATGTATCACTTATGGAAACAGTGGACTTTGTATGCGAAGAAATCATAGGACGAAACATCGATGTCGGCATTCCTGTATCTTTTATGAAAGACTTTCTCTTGAAATGCACAATGAATGTCCACTTTTTATTCAATAAGGAACTGTACAGACAAATCAATGGTGTGGCAATGGAGTCACCACTAAGACCCATTCTAGCTGGCATTTTCCTTGCGAAACTAGAAAATGCGCCTTTGAAGGATGTTACTGATAAACTTGAATTCTATTGTCGGTAGATGGATGATACATTTTTGATTATGAAAAATGAGGAGGAAGCCAACAACATCCTGGACAAATTTAACGATGTTCATCCTGCAATGAATTTTACTATTGAGAAAGAAAAAGACTCGAGTATTTCATTTCTAGACGTCCTTATGACCAGAAAAGAGGATGGGACAATAAGAAGAAGTGTATGTAGGAAACCTACATCAACTGACTGTCAGTATACTCATTTTCTCATATTCATATCTTTGAAATACAGACGCAATCTGATGAAGTGCTTTGTTCACAGAGCAAGAGCAATCTGCTTGGATGAATGTCTTGATGAGTAACTTAACAATATTAAACAGTTGCTGAGTGAAAAAGTCTATCCAAAAAACGTTCATTGATAAGAATATGAATCTAGAATCAAAGCAGCCCAAGGTACCAACGGTTCCTAAAGAGGCCTTATTTTTACAAATCCAGTTCCTTGGGGACAACATCAGCGAGATACTAACACCACGCCTTAAGAATGCGGTAAAAACAGCATTCTCTGCTGCTGAATTACCCTGTGTCTTCAAAAACACCCCTATTTCGCGTTCTGGAGTTAAAGATAAACTGCCTAATTTCGTCCCTTCCATGTGTATATATCAGTTGAACTGCTCCTGTGGAGTGAGCCAGTTAATCGCATATGCCGTACAATTAGGTGTGTTTCTCGTAGAATTTCCAAACACCACCCTGCATAGTGGTTAACCAAGTGACAAATAAAATTTATTCGTAGCGCTATTCTATCTCATCTTGTGGACACACAACACAAGATTGATGTCAGCGGGCTGGCTTTCAAAGTCATTTACCGCATACCAACAAATCCCAGTTTCGCCTTAAGAGTTCGACTACCAAAAATTACTGAGGCTGGCTGTTGGGATCCACATTAAGAAGCCTAATTTATGTGTCCGAAAGAAGCTAGTTCAGACATTATCCTTACCCTCACTGGTCATCTAGGTTCGAATGATCCTGAATTTTTGTGGAATCTTCCTAATTTTAGTTGATATTCTATTTGATACTCTATTTTTTACTATTATTATAATTTAAGCACCTTTAAAGCCCTATGTTCCACTGGGAATGTGAAGGGAAAAAATGAGCTGTAATTTAGTTGATCTTACTTAACAAATCGATATTATTTAAAAAAACATACGTATATATAATTGTAGAGCAAGAAGAGGAAATTATCAAAAAAGATATTGTTCGCTCAATTATTTTGTATTTTATTATACCAATTAGTATACCAATTAAATTTCGTAATATATTTTTACGTACTCACAAGTAGTATAAAATCGTAAGATAAAATTGCTGGGTGAAGGATTAATAGGGGCGAAATTAAAATATGCATTCCATAAGTGGCATGGTATGTAAGGACATATTTGAAATGTCCAAGAATATTATAATTGATAATAATAATAATAATGGTAAAGCGTGGAATTATTCAAATGGAGTTGTATTTTCTGTACAAGCTTTAATTCAGTCCTCTTCTTTTATCGATTTGCTTTAAACCATTGTAATAGTTCACTGATCATTTTATAACCATTACGAAAATCATTCCCGTATAAAGATTTCTCATCATTTTGTGGTCTGACAATATGGCAGCCATTTGGTTCCAGTGTTTCATGACAAAATGTGGATGAATTAAGGCTGAAATCATGCTGCTTAGATGATAATTCACGTTTACTTAAATCTTCATTACGTAATATTGTAGTCATCTGACGTTTCCATTTAGTTCTGAAATATTATAACATAAAATAATTCGTATTAAGCTAAAACTGGTTGGTAAATTAAATGAAAATACAGTGTGAAAATATTTAGGTAACTAAGAAAGTCAGTACTGGTGTAAATAGAATGAGACTTACTACATGGATTAATTGACAGTTTCCGATGTAAACGAAAGTTAAATGAAGCCGTTTGTTTCCTATAACCCTTGCAAAATTGATGATACTGGTATAGAAACCAAGTCTGAGGTTAAGTATCTTGGATTAATTCTTTCTTCTGACCTATCCTGATCTTCCCATGTCTCAGCGATTTTTAAAAGATGATTTCGTCTGACTTTTTACATTAAGAAGTTAAGACAATCAGGTATAACTCAACCAACCCCTCCTCATACAGTTTATCAACTCGTGTATTTTACCTATTCTTCTTAACTGTTCACCCTTGCTTATTCTTTCTTGGATTGCTTAATAATGACTATGTCATACTTCGTAGAACTCTGAAGACTGACTGTCAGTAGGGCAACTGGTGGTATCCCACTGGGCCATATCGATCTCTGACATTGTCACTGATAGGCACTTGATGTCATGCAACACATTTGCTAAAGGAATTTTGTTAGACAGTGAGCATCTACCTCACCACTCGCAGCTCCAACCTTGTGTCCTCTCCTCAGGTAAAACAAGAAGTCTCTACAGAAGACTTTATGCACGTACGTCTAAATATAAAAACTCCACGATACCATATTTAGCGGCACGTAATTTATGTGATGGAAATAATGTTAGGCCTGAACTAACTAACCTTCTTTTCACTACTAAATAAACCATTTCCTCCACCCTTACAACATCAACCTTTATTGTCATTGTCCCTCTTATATTTATAATCCTTTCAATTTTTTTGATTTTATTTATTTATGTTTCTTAAGTGTGAACATCATTTAAGCTGTGTTACCACCGTTAATCTTGTATTTCCCCTTACTATACTATATCAACAGAACATTAGATTCAGTAATCTGTAATGTGTTAGGATTTCTAAACTGAATCGACAATACTGTTTGAAACAAACTCACTATTATTAATATTATTATTATATTTAATGATCTTAATTCGTACTTCGAATATTTTTGACTGTATATCGTAAATGTGGACAAATTCCTGTAGTTATTTATGTTTTAATTTTCAATTTTATTTATATTTTGAGTAAATCAGATACAATATTGTGAGAAATATTGAGAATTCCATTCTGTATTATAAGTACTGTCCGTTTTGGAATAAAGTAAATTATTATTATTTTTTTCAAGTATTGGTTTTGTAGGGATTTTGTTTGATTGCATGGATGTCAGCTCATGATTAAATCCTCCATGCAATCAAACAAAATCCCTACAAAACCAATACTTGAAAATTAATCTGTGCTCACTAGTGACTGGCCCTATTCAGGCAGTTAACCTGGGGTTCTAGTGGGAAGCCGTGACCAGTAGGGTACAACAAGTTGAAGATGAGGCAGTAACTCATCGAAGAAGACATTGCGAAATGGTCGCGCTATGTCGTGAATTGGCAGAAGTTAGAATTCAAGGACAATTGGATCGGGTCCCAGTGGCTCAATGGTCTACGAGCTAGCTCGCCTTGTAACCAGAAGGTCCTGGGTTCGAATCCCGGTGGGTGCGTACTGATGGAGAGTCCCAAACTAGGACGAAACAGCTGTCCAGTACTCCCAGGTTTTCCAGTGGTTCTCTAACTGATGTCAGCTCATGATTAAATCCTCCGCGTAAATTATTATTGACAATATTCCTTTGGGTTCCGAGTGGAACATAGGACTGGCTTCAACAACACATCTCCGCTTTGTTCTATTTGGCGCTGTCCTCTTCATCTGGCTGGGTCTACGATTTACCAGACTCTCTCATCTCCTCCTCACAAGATCTCCTCCATATCACCCTAGGACAACCCACTCGTCGCTTTCCAGTTGGATTCCACTCAAGCAATGGCCTGCATTGCTCACGATATCATTCGGTGGTTTCCTCATTTTATGCCCAGTTCGTCTCCATTTTCTCCTACATATTTGTTGAGCGATCAGCTCTCTCCTGTTGGTTTTTTCCCAGTCACAGTTTCTTGTTATTAATTCTTTCTGGCCAACTGGCCATTTGATCTTCAGTACCGGTCCAGTGATGTAAGCAGCTCTTGATAAGAGCCTGTCTGTCTGTCTGTTTTCGACATAGAACTTTGCACAAATGTGCGGAAGTTCAAGTCGCCACATTCCGTGTAGCACGCGAAGCAAGAGAAGAAAGTACAAGAAAAGCATAATAGAAACAGTGAGCAGAGGTGTGAGACAAAGGAGTAATAAAGAAATACAAAACAGTTTCATTGAAGATCATAAGTCACAAGGAGTGGATGCATGTGCGCCAGCCTTCATTGAGAACGATTTTGAGCCATGTCACCAATTGTTTCCAACCATAGATTTTTACCGTCCCGAGGACCCCAGCCTGGAAGTCTACACCTTCCTACGTGGCTTAGACCAACTGTTGTGGATTACATTGACTGGTGAAGCCAAGTTTTTGTTTGACCGCCGCTAGCTTTTTTCCAGCCTGACCCTATATCCGCTAACATTGCTCGTCGAGGGAGGCGATGGCTTGGCATACGTAACACATGTCCTAACCATCTCAGTCTTTGTAGCTTCACGACTTCGTCGATTGATTTCCCCTGTTTACCTAGAACTCGACCAATGCCTAACCTCAATGTTGCTCACCTTATTATGCCACTTTACACGGGAAATAGAACGCAGGCACCTATGATCAAAGACAGCTAGTCTTTTCATGTCTTTCACTCTCAGTGGCCAGGTCTCACAGCTAGCAATAAAGGAGGACGGAGCGGACTGATGAGCAGTACACCCGCCCTTTGGTCGATAGTCGAACATCTCGTCTACGCCAGAGTCGGCGTAAACTAACAAATGCGAGACGAGCCCCTTGTATTCGTGCTGAGATTTCGTCAGAGATCAGCCCGTTGGCATTGGCTGATGGTACTTCCCAAATAAGTGAAGCGGTCAACGTGCTCTACCACTTCACTTCCTATTTTTAAACTAGGCGTCGATGTAGTCCAGTCCTGTAACATCATCTTGCATTTGGCGGGAGCGAATCGCATGCCAAACATTCGTAGATTGCGGCTCAAGATGTTTAGAAGACTCTGCATTTTGTCAGCGTCTTCGCCTAGAAGGACTATATCGTCTGCATATTCCAAGTCAACGAGATTATTCCCAGGTTGATAAGAGCCTACACTAGTGTGTTGGAAATCTTTTTCGTGACACGCAATGCAACTGTTTGAACCGTATAGAAGAACCGATCGACTTGACATTAGTGTTGAAAATGCGAACATTGTTCCATATGCTCAGTGTAAAAGATTTCTAAATTGGTTTCAGGTTGTTGAAGGCATATCTTGCCTTTCCGATTCCAACTGGCTTTGACATCTTTGTCCGTTCCATCCGTCCTGATACTGGCTACCTAAATGAGTGAAGTGGGCAACCCATGTTAAATCTCTCCAGTTGATGGGGTGATTGGTGGTGGTGGTGGTTTTTGTTGTTGCTGTTTGTCAGTTAGTTGGTTGATTATCTTTATCCCCTTCGTTTTCTCTATGTTCATCACCTTGAGTCCTGTCTTCGCTGGCTTTTCATTCTTATTCTTGCTTTCATTGAGAGAAGGCACATCGGCTGGCTCTCATCAGTCCACGTCATTTGGTCTCTCCGATACCAATGAAGAATAAGATCATCCTTTGAATTTTTTGTATTTTTAATATAACATAACATCTTTATTCACAAATTTACCTTTAGCAGAAACAGTTAACTACATATGTGAACAAGGGGATAACCAGTCGATAAACACTGGCATCCGTACTGAAATCCTAAAAGAATTTTGTAATTAAGGTGTAACCATGAATGTAAACTTCAAATTTGACGGCACGCTTTACATGCAAGTGGACGGGGTGGCGATGGGCTCCGCATTGCGTCCTATTTTGGCTGATTTCTTTCTAAGTAAGCTAGAAAATGGACCTTTAAACAACCTTATCAGTAAGTTCTCATTTTATTGGTTGTATATGGATGACACCTTCATCTTTTGTGATAGTGATTCGGATAGGAGTACCATAATTTCTGAATTCAATGAAGTACATCCGGCTATGAAATTCAAATGCGAAGAGGAATCCCAAGACAGAATTGCCTTCCTGGATGTCCTACTTACCAGAAAACCAGATGGTAGCATAAAAAGAAATTAGCATAGGAAAAGTACTTGGACAGGACAATATACACATTTTCACAGTTTCGTTCCTATCAAGTACAAAAGAAATTTAGTGAAGACCCTCAGCCACACAGAGTTAGAGCTATATGCTCAGAAGAAGTAATTAAAGATGAATTAAGCATTTTATATGATACTTTAATCGAAAATAGCCACCCCGAAAAATTTATCAAGAAACACATGACAAAGAAAGCGGCGGAAAAGGACTACTCACCATCTGTAAACAAGAAGCCACTTTATATACGACTACAATTCAAGGAAGATATACCAAGTGAGATAATTACGAGGAAATTAAGAAAATCAGTTGAAAGAACTTTTAATGCTGGCGGCGAACTACACGTATTATTCTCTACACGACCGATGGTGCTACCTCGACTGAAAGATGAAGTATTTAGACTAGACTAACCACTTCCAATTCTATCTACCAATTCAACTGCGCTTGTGATGGAGCGAGTTATATCGACCGTTGCTCTAGGAACTTGATTTTTCGTGCTGGCTTGAGAATATCTCCCAGTATGGCTAAGTAAAGGTGTAGTGGAAACCATCGAGAGTTTGATATTAGACCATCTGGTCCAAACCGGCCGGCCACAAAGCCAGCCAGCCAGTCAAGTGGAAGAATCCTTCTCTATAATCTACAGGGTGTCAAATAAATTGCCAAAAACATCCATGTGCCGCACGCTCCAAACAGCAGAGGCTATTGCGATTCGCCTCAAACAACCAGTGCTCTGTGTTCAAAAGAAGCAAGTCC